TATCATGCAGCTGATTTTTGCAATTTTCAGGCAGGCGGGTTTCAGAAGTTGTTCTCCAATATTCTGCAGCTTTTAAGTCTTAGTGATTAAAAGTGAACGCTCAAAAGATGCTCCTGTGGCTCTGTGCAAATCACTACCTGCTCTTTCAAAGGCTTTTCTGATGTCAGTGGATCTCTTTGACAGTGCCAACTGCTTCTGAAAGTATTCCCAACTTTCACCAATAGTAATAATAACAATGTCTGTTCTAAACTAGAGAAAAAAGTAGAAAAACAAGTCCTCTGTGTGTTTTTACGCATTTAAACATTCACAACTGCATATGCTTGCGTTATGTTATATATTTAATAAAACGTGAGCTTAACCAAGACCTCTTCCTACAAGAACCGCATGCACAGTACTGAAGTCATAACCAAACGCTCTAAAAGTGACAGCACAGATTTGAGTTTTTAACAGAAAACTCTTCAGACATAACCAAAATGAGGGTTCTTCAGTGTTAATCAGGATTTGGTGAAATTTCAAACATTATAATTAAAAATAAAAGCATATTTTCTAAAGTTGTTACACAGACAATAAATGGCTATTTTTACAACCTCTAAGCAGACACATTATGTGACCCCACCTGTGCTCTCTGGGTCGGCCCCCCCCAGGTTGGGAATCACTGCTTTAGAGCACTCGAGTGTACCATCTTCTAAACTAACACATGGCGAGATGACATTGTTGTATAGTATGCATTTGATGATGTGCAGTTCAGGGTTCAGAAGAAGGTGCACGCTCACCATGGAGATAATTTGCTTCTGAGACTCACTTGATAATTTGCACCCTGTGTGACGAGGAGTCTAATTCTCTGGGGTAAACCAATAATGGCTTCCTTCAGTAGTGCTCAAGGGAATAATTTCCCTGTCAAGTTTTGTCTTTTTCTTTCATTTGGGCTTTACTTTGTGGTATTGTTCATTCATTTCTGTGCAGATTTGGTTTGGCGGTCTCACCTCCCCTACTTTTCTACACCCCTCAGCCTTTTCTTCTTTGACATTTCTGCATATGTGCATCTTCTGCTGATATTTGCCTTTTCTTCTTGCTCATTCTGCCCTTCGTTTCTTTTCCCTCCCCTGTTCATCTCAGCTCTGCTTCCCACTAACATCCTCTGCGTCTCTGCTCTCCCTGATCAGATCAGAGTTACACTCTGCTGCTGTGCTAACGTAAATACCCGGTCTGACATCATTGGCATAAATAAGCTGTTTCCAAAAATACCTGCTCTTCCATTCTCCAATCAGCTTGCATATGTAAAGATTCTGTTTTTATAGCATGCAAGTGTGTGTGGGTACGTGTGTGAGAGGGGAAGACAGCCTGCCTTTAAACAGACAACAGCCACTTTAATTGCCAGAATAAGGCTTCAAGGACACGACAGCACTGTTCACTTTTAACATTGCCAGTTTACAGATCTGTGTTGTGACATTCGAATGTGTCCTCAGAGAGGTATGAATATATATGCACCACACATCAGCCCCTAAGATGCAGAGAACACATGCATGCATACCTTTGCCCAGAGAAGAATTTCCCCCATAAGATAAGAAAGTAAAGTGCATAAAAAGGAACAAGTTAAGAGACAGAATGTGGGAAAAGTCAACAGTGTGTGATTTTACATGTGGTCCTAAAGGGCCAGAGCTGTCAGCGCTAAGGCCCCATGAGGAGTGCACGTTGCCAGGCTGCTTGTCTATTTATGCCCACTCACATGGTAGTGGAGTGGCTGACATGTGGTCATACATTGTCAAATAGATGTAGATTGACTGAGGGACAGAGAGGAAGACAGGCTGAATGGAGGACAAAGAGACGGACTGCAAGATAAACTGACATGATGAAACATGGACCCTTTCAGAGGATTCTATCAATAAAATTAGTACATTACATTATTAATTATTCTAAAAATGTTTAGATGAGACTCTGTTGTGATTATGATTTAAAAAAAAAAATATATATATATATTTGCCAGAGAGGACAGCAAGAAATGTTGCGGGCAATATGCATTCCTTCATAGAATGTTAGACCTTTGATTAAATGCATTTTTTATCTTTTTTATTTTTTGGCCAAACAATAAAAAAGAATAACAATTACAAGTCGCCTTCATTTCCCCATTTTTTGAATATACTTGAAGTTTATGTGCTATAAACATATTCAAGCTCTGTCTTTTTTTCACCAGTGTGAGAATGTGAACATAATATTTACTGTTAAGGATTTTTTATGTAAAACCTTCTGCATGATTTATTTAACTTTTTAATGCAACAGGCCACACACTCTTTCCTTTTTATAAATATTATTGCCACTCAGAACTCAGAAAGGAGAGAGTCAAGTTTGAGCACTTTATTTATGAAATGTGAGTGTTTAGTTTGTCCTGTCATGATGCGCTGCTTTTTGGACAACATAATGTGGAAAAAAATCCAGCATATATTAAACTGGGCAAGACAAACACTTGGATTAATGAGGGGGAGGAATAACCACTTGGTTGTCTGTTCACATATTGTTGCTGCAAAATGTCACCCAGTATTTATTTAACTAGACATGCAAGGTACTGCGTACAGTTTATTTTAACTAAATAATATTTTGTTTTATTTTAATTTTAGCAAATAAATAATCAGTTTGAAGAGTTTCAGTCAGGTTTTAGAGCTCATCACAGCACAGAAACAGCACTGGTGAATGTTACTAATGATATTCTCATGGCCTCTGACAATGGACAGGTGTCTACACTGGTCCTGTTAGACCTCGGTGCTGCATTTGATACAGTTGATCATAATATTCTATTACAGAGACTTGGATATGATATTGATTACAGGGACGGCTCTAAATTGTTTAAAATCATATCTATCTGATAGATTCCAATTTGTAAATGTAAATAATGAATCTTCATACACCAAAGTTAGTCATGGAGTTCCTCAGGGTTCAGTGCTCGGACCAATACTCTTTACCTTGTATATGCTTCCATTAGGTAAAGTTATTAAACAGCATGGTATTAATTTTCATTGTTATGCTGATGATACACAGTTACAGTATATTTGTCCTTGAAACCCAATGAATCCAATCAGCTACTGAGACTACAAGCATGTCAGGGTTAAAGGCATAAAAACATGAATGACCCTAAATTTTCTGCTTTTAAACTCAAGACATAGATTTTGGTTTTTGGACATGAGCATCTTAGGAATATTTTTTTCAGTTTTTCGCCTACTCTGGATGGCATTAATTTGGTCTCCAGTTCTAATATTAAAAACCTTGGTATTATTTTTGATCAGGACATGTATTTTATCCCATACATTAAAATTTTTACCAGAACTGCTTTTTTCCACCTCAGAAATATTGATAAAATTAGAAACATATTGCTAAAAATCTATCCATCCATCCATCCAAAAACTTCTTTAAAAAGTCTTCAGTTGATCCAAAATGCTGCTGCCAGAGTCTTAACTGGAGTTACTGGGAGAGATCATATCTCTCCAGTTTTAGCTTCTCTCCATTGGCTCCCTGTCAAGTCCAGAATTGAATTCAAAATCTTACTTCTACCTTACAAAGCTCTCAACAACCTAGCTCCATCTTATATTTGAGATCTTATTATTCCATATTTTCCTAACAGAGCACTTCGCTCTCAGACTGCAGGTTTACTCGCAGTTCCTAGAGTTTCCAAAAGCAGAATGGGAGGAAGATCTTTCAGTTATCAGGCTCCTCTCTTGTGGAAACAACTTCCAGTTTCTGTCTGTGAGGCTGACACATTGTCCAGTTTGAAGACTGGGCTCAAGACTTTCCTTTTTAATAAATCCTATAGTTAGGGTTGGCTTGTTATGCTGCTATAGGCTTAGACTACTGGAGGACAAATTGACCTAATTGCTTCAAATGAATAATTTGCATTTGAAACTATTTCTATCTTAACATGTGATTCTCAACCTGCCATTGTGTATCTGTTCCTCTCAAACCCAGCCAGTCGAAGCAGATGGTCGCTTGTCCTGAGTCTGGTTCTGCTAAAGGTTTCTTCCTCATGAGGGAGTCTTTCCTTTCTACTGTCGCCTTCATGCTTGCTCAGTCAGGATGAGAGTCTGTGATGAGTTAAACTCAAAGCAGTCTGCTCCTCTGATAAATAATGTTATTAACTTACTTTTTATGTATATGAATGTTTCTGTTCAGTGTCCTGAGATGACTTCTGGTGTGACTTGGTGCTAAATAAATAAACTGAATTGAATTGAATATGTTTTAAATAATAAAGCTTACTTATTATAGATAATCTAGGATCAGTTGTAAACTTGGGCCTGAGCATAACTAGGTGTCTTTAAAGTGGGTTTTTAATTAAAAGAATTTTGAATAAATTCTTTCGTCAGCAGCCACCGCCTTTAATTATAGCTGCTACATCTGTCAAACATTTGAAGCTGCATGGCTTCATGTTTATTCAGAGAAAACAGAAGTGATTGTGAATTGTTGCTAGGAAACTAGAGTAATCAAAAGCACAGCGATGGTCAACCTCAGGTTCTTGTGCAAATATCTGCTCTGAGCTAAATATGGACCGTTTTGGCAAATTTCTTTTCAAGGGAAAAGCTATTCATAGTGCTTATAAAATGTACCCGATGGTTGTATTCCTGACTTCCCAAAGAAAAGGTTAGCATGGAGAATGGTGACGGCTTATTTAAGAATTTCTGTCACAGTGTAGTTCATCAATGAGGTCTGAGTTCAACATCGTGGGTATAATATCTTGAGCAGAAACATTTATATGTTAATAAATTCAGACTTGATCTAACGCTGACTTGTTATCAATTCATGAATGAATGAATGAATTCCTAAACATTATTCTCAAAGTGATCTCCAACTATTCAGCTCCTCTTCGTCGTACCTGAGGACAATTGTTAAACATGCTCAAATCCTGACGTTAATAAGAAATTATAAACACTGTTCACAAAGACAACCCGTGCTCTGTATCATCAATGATAACTATTTGTCAAGAGCAAGCAGTATTATAAATAAAAACGTATTAAATTGATTTTATTAATGATGACAGCAGTTTAATTCATATGCAAATCTGTATTTTCCCCCAAAAAAACAAGTTTCTATTTATGTTATCCTTATTTTAAATGGATAGTTATATCAGAGATGCGTCTAAAAGCATAAAAATTACTAATTTTTCCAGTGTGCACGCAAGAAAATAAATGTTATTTTTGTGAGTTTGTGTGAGTCATACTTAATAAATAATTGCAGCAAACCCACAATTGTAGGTAAACAGTTCTAGGCCTCCAAATTAATCAAAGAAATGCATAAAGAGAAGCTGCAGACTTCCTGGAAGCAGCTAAATGTTTTTTTAAAGGGCACCAATAGAAAGGAGACAGAAAGAAATACAATAGGTACAAATAAATGTTTGGAAATAGATGAAAACTGTAAACAGGACTCAGTCAGACAAGAAGACAGGCTACAGACAGTTTAAAGGCCAGCAGAGACGGAGAGTAATGTAGACGGACAGATGGACAAACACAACGAGGTGATAGACACCAAGTGGAGCAGAATGTGAGCGCTGTTCATCTGCTCTCTGAATCATCGCAGCCTCGCGTCGTTTCTGTGTAAAACATGGATTCTGTGTGTTTCCTGTCTACTACTTTTCTTCTTTCCATCTTCCATATCCGCATTTCTCTATTTTTATTTTTTGACTAAACTAGTTCAGGAACTTATTTTTAACATATTCATGTTAAATCCAGAGGGAGAAAGAGTACTGAAAATTTTTACTCAAGTACAAATACTGTTACACTGCTTAAATTGTACTCTATTACAAGTAAAAGTACTGGTATTGTAAAAAAACTTAAAAAAAACTTAAGTAAAAGTCAAAGTACTCTTCTCAAAAACTACTCAGAGTATTAATTACTTTTTAACCAACTGATGTTTTATTGTGTTGTCACTAGAAGACATTCAGTTTGATTTACTGTATATAATCGCTACATCAAAGCACATTTCTCAGACGCTCCGTCTTATTTTAGTACCAGGTAAACCGATGGCAGTGACAATATTTAAGATCTTTGCATACTTATCCAAACTAATAACCAACACATACAAACAATAAAAAATAAATATACAGTTGTAAAACCTCGTATACCGCTATATGTTTTTTGAGATTAGATGCTGAAGTCTTGTAAGCTGCTGTCACCGTAGAGATCAAACACAGTTTGCATCTGGACCTGTCTCCTTTTCACCCTCTGTACATGAAACATTCCTCCAGGTACGTCCACGGACACTCATCCTCAGCCTTTACCTCCTCGTTTTCTCTGTTGTCCTCTGGCTCCATTTTGGATTTTTCTCCAAATCTTTGGTCCATAAATAACTCAACTCCACAGAGTCGTCCTTTGCTTATGTCATAGGTAATTGGTGCGTTTGTGATCTGAGAACCTTATTGGCTACAAAGATGCAGATGAACGGTTTGAATATTAATTCAAATTGCTGCCGTACTCAGTAGCGACTTCTGATTTTAAAAGTAGTGAAGTAGATTACATGGACTAAATCATACTTAGTATGAGTAAAATTACACACTTACTCATAAAAGTACAAGTACCCCAAAAATCTACTTAATTACAGTAATGTGAATATTTGTAATTCGTTACTTCCAGCCCTGGTTAAATCCTTCAAGCCTCTTCCAGATTATTCCTCGGTCACCTTCTACCTAACTGTTTAGATATTTTTACCCCCACTCTAAATCTTTTCTCTTGTTTCCATTTCAGGTCTGCTCTCTGTGTCCTATGATGAGTGGGACTACGGCATAGAAGCTCGTGTTCGGGACGGCGTGGCCATCATCACCATGGCAACTTCCACCATGATGATGGACCGCGGGCCTCACACTCTGCTGAAGTCTGAGTGCCACGGAGCACCGGAGAAGAAGACCCCCATCTCAGGCAACCCCAACGAAGTTCTCAGGTAGGAGTAAAATCTGAGCTGTCTTCTTATTAACAGACCGTAGCATCCGTTTCTCATTTTCCTTTTTAACACACTCACAGTTTGTAATGCAGGCCTTCTGTTAAATGTTTTAACTTAATGTTCAGGCTTAGATTTCAAATAACTGGACTTTATTTACAAAATCCGTGGAACGCTCCTTTGCTTTGACATGTATCTAAGATCCACAATTGTAAATTTTTTTACTGCATGATCACATTTTATTTACGAAGAATTGTCCAAATATTCACCAGTTCAGAAATTATATGCACCTTGTTTTAAACCCTTGCATTGCTAGATTTAAAAATATACATATACATGTATTTAAAGGATGTTAGTAGGAGGCATGAACAAAAATGACTGATCACTAATTGAAAACTAGTCAGAGCGATAAATCATATTCTTTTTCCATGAGCGTGTTCAACTTTATGTTTTGTATGAATTCAACATTCCTTTATTTTAGATTGCTACTTGGAGTGGAGTCCTGTGAACAGTTGTAAACAATTAATATTTTACCTGTTGCAGATAGCTCTTTGAACAAGCTCATTTGAGGAAACAGAGTTTGTTTCAGATTAGTTTCATAAGCTGATGGCTGGTCTCAACAGGTTTAAGGCCAAAGAGGATTGTTGCCATAAAACAACTCAAATCTAAAAACAGTCATAGCTGTTCAGGCTAATATTTATTTAGACAAAACTCACATTCCTGTAATTTGCAGTACAAAGTTGTTTAACCTCTTAAGACCTGAACTCTTGCATATGTGGAGGCCATATCCTAGGAGGTTAAATTATATGGTTTCTTGCTAAAGCAAATGGCCGCAGTAGCAGCTAGCTGTAGCACTTTCTGTGGCGTTTGGGGAACTTTCATCAGGAATATCATCAGATCTCTGCCTGAAGAACCGTGTAATGTCAAACTCATGGCAATGTAAAGGTTAATAAAAGAACATTGGCTTGAATCATTGGGAAATCTTTGAGACTCACGTGTTTATTTTTAATGGTAGCGATCCATTTTGATCTTGTTCACTTTTAGTTATTAGCCCGTTGGTCAGGTTAGAATCAGACTCGTTTAGGATTGCAGATGCAAACAGGTTTCATGAAGACAAAAATAATCTGTCAACAAATCTGGGTTAAATGTGATATACAGTATTAATGTAGAATGTCTTTTGGCTTTGTTTTTAATCTGTAACACACCCACAGCTGCATTTTCTTTAATCAATTAGTTTCCTGTTGAATTTTGAAACTGTATCTTAAATATATCCTTAGGGAAAGGTCTGAGTTTGATCTACAACACTGTTGCTCCTCTTGCTCTGTTAAACCTGAAGAGAAATCAAATTTTTGTTGCACAATTTTTAATTTCCTACAAACAGTGTACTGTACAGCATTAAACGCTGTCAAATCTGCAGGCCTTGTCTCTCAACAGGGATTTGGTTTGTTTGGGCTGTTTTATTTACAACAATATTGAAGTCACACTGATTTATGGTAGTTATAATGCTTTACACACCTGCTTTAAAAATGTGCAGGATCGGGTCAAGCATCGTCACAGCATCCTGGTAAACATCAGTGCAAACGTGGAAGCAGCAGATGCTGCCACACACACATACAAACATCCATAAACTCACGTGCATCACTACTCCCTCCTCCCATAAAATCACACCTTTCACACACAAACACCCTCCTTACACAAAGCTAGCCCACCCCTCTAGATGTCTGTCCCTGCAGAAGGCCTTTTGAACTGGTTTTGAAGCGCAGCGTTTGGTCGCGCTTTGCTCTGCTCACATCCTAATTGGTCCCAATGGCGTTTCAGTGGGCGAACACTGTCCCCTGTTGCGCTCTGCTCCAGAGCACCGCACAGGATGGTATTCAGGAGCAGTTTCACCCCTGTGCTGCTGCTCATGTCTGCTGAATGTGAGTGGGTATGTGTTCCTCATGCAGAGAGACGGACTGTCGGTGAAGGACAGGTTTGTCCGTGTGCGCTGTATGAAAGCAGCACTTCCTCAGATGTGCATGCTAAAGAGGCTCAGTGCTGCTTTTAGGACACCAGTTTAGTTGCAGTTTACTTCCTGCTGAAAGTTTTCAAACGGTCTTTGAAAAGCAGGTTAATAATGGCAGACGTATTAACTAGAGAAATTGCATTTCCTGAGAAAATACAGTGTGAATGCTTATTGCTCAAGAACTTGCTGAAAAACAGCTGAAATCAGCTAAAACCATGCGGAAATGTTGCTGAAATAGAAGAACAAGCCTAATTAGCAGAAGAAAGCAGAAAGAACACATCAGAATCAGAATCAGAATAAGATTTATTATCATTGTACTGGGATACAGTGAAACACATGTTTGCTGAATTAGGTTTAAATAAGCAGAAATTAGCACAAAAATTAAGAAAATATCTAAAAAAGCTGAAATTAGCAAAAAAAAATAGCGGAAAGGTAGCTGATAAGGCAGAAAGAAGCCTAAAGTACCAGAAGAAAGTGGAAGGAGCTGATATGAGCTCAATAAATGTGGAATTAGCTGAAAAAGCTGCATTTAGCACAAAAAGGCTAAAAAGTAGCTTAACTAGCAAAAAGTTGAAACTAGCAGAAAAAAGCTGAAAGAAGCATAACAAGCTTAAATTAGCAGAAAGAAGTTAATGAGGCTGAAAGTAGCAGAAACTATCACGAAAAACTCAAATTTATCTGAAAACAGCTGAAATTAGCTAAAACAACAAGCTAACAAGTTAGTTAAAAAGGTAGAACAAGCTTAAATTAGCAGAAGAAAGCAGAAAGAACACATTTGTTCAGTTAGGCTTAAAGAAGCAGGAATGAACATAAAAAAGTGGAAATCACAATAAAACAGGTAAATAGTAGCTGAAATAGTAGCAAAAGCTGAAACTTGCAGAAATAAGCTGAAAGGAGCATAACAAGCATAAATTAGCGAAAAGAAGTTAGAAGCACAAAAATGTTGTAGTTAGCTGAAAGAATCTGAAAGGAGGACAAAACAGCTGAAAAAACAACTAAAATTAGCTGAAAGTAGCTGAAAAATATTTAAATCTGCACAAGTAAGGTGAAAAAAGCTGACGCAGAACAAAATGTTAACGGAGCAGTAAAAGTTTGTAAATAGATCTAAAGATTTGAAGGATGTAAAATTAGCTCAAATCATTTTCTATGAGAATAAAAGGGTCAGAAAAGGCTAAATATTTAAAAAAGCTAAAGTTGTATCAATACCAAAGAGTCATAGCAGGATTGTCCTAAAATAGCTAAATGTTTTGATTTATGATTTGTTGAAATAAATTGAAAACTGCTGGACGAGAATCACACGAAAAACGTACGGACGAAAAATGGATTGCAATAGTGAGAATGCTTCATAAACATTCACACTATTATAAACATATGATGGACACTAAAGGATAACACTAAACAATCTGTCCCTCTTGTGTGGTAGAAGTTTAGTTCTAGACATCTACTGTAATTTCTGAACTATTGAGCGCACCTGAATATAAGCAGCACCTGCTAAATTTACAAAGAAAATTTTAATTTTACATAAATAGGCCACACTTATCTATAAGCCGCTGGTGTTCATGTTGTAACAAGATATTTACAGATACATTTTTTTTTTTGGCTTTTAATTAAATACTTACCGGTAACACGCACAAATACAGTTTTTTTTTTTTTCTGAACAGTACCTGTAACACGGCTGATAAAAAAAATACAGTAGTCTACCAGGAAGTCATTGATTGCTACCCTCCCAAGAGACGTGTATTACATTTACACTCAGGTCCAAATAATCCAAACCAACCCAGCCCGCAGCCATCATCTCCGAACCACCCAATTCTATGAATGAACAGTAATTACAAATCTGAACCCGACCGCCCCATCCCCCCAACTCCGATATTTTTAATTAAGCTTTGACTGCTTATACCACCACACTGACTATTATTAATGGTTGGCGGATGCGCGCAGCTGAGGGGGCAGAAGGTCAGAGCTGAGGAGCCATCAAAGCGCATTAAATGCTTCCCCTGCTTTGACATGTTGGATATTTTATGATCTCACCTGTTTGGGTCATCAGCCGCACGCGTCCTCTGAGTGCAGCGGCTGAATGAACGTCCATTTGGGCTGATGGATCGCTGGCAGTAGTCCATCTGAAGCTTAACTGAACTTTTTTCCTCTTTCAACCAGTCAGTCAGTGCACGGTCAAATGGCTGCATGCAGGTGTTGTATGGCAAGCCAAGTTTGCATATATTGGATCGTCGGCTGCGCGCGTCCCTGACGCAATAAAAAGCCCGGCACCGACCCAGCCCACACATTAAGCACATTATTATGGCTCGGCCCGGTCCGAATCCGGGTCGAGCAGGGTCGGGCTCCGGGTTCGTGTTAGAAATGACAACTTTAACGTGTATCAGGTGCTATGTGAGCGCCTGGGTGTGATGAAGCTAAATGTTTTGGTGGCATGAAGCTCGTTAGCCCATCAAAAAAAAAATCCATAAATTAGCCACAGCATTGTATAAGCTGCAGTGTTCAAAGTGTGTGATAAAAGTAGCGGCTAATAGGAATGCGCGATATAAACGGTATACGGTAGAAACGATAGAAATTTAGCCTACGATATAGATCTGTCTTCTACCGGCTAACCGCAGTAATGATGCGTCTGATGTAAAATCAATTTTCAGTTTAATCGTTACTTTTTTAGTTGAAAACCGTGCGTAAGTGGTGTTCAAGTGTAAAATCAGAGCAGTCCGATTTAATCGTTAATTTTTTTGAGTTGAAAACTGCGCAAGTGGCGTTAAAGCCATTTTTTCGAGAGCTAAGTAGAGAAGCTACAAGCTAACTACAGCCGGCTTGCCGTAGTGTTGCCATATTCAGATGCATGCGCAAAACGCTGAGTTCCATCGAAAGTTGTTTTTTTTTTCCGTCGAAAGTTAAAGTAAGCGTTGGTCAGCTTTAGAGAAACCTGCTCTCTGATCTGTGAAAAGAACGCTGTGTTGTGTGATTTTACTGTGAGACCCTCTGGTCAAAGCCACAG